GGGAAGAGGTAACTATCGGGAAGAAGTGGGAGGGGAGCTATTGCATTGTGGTAAATTGTAGTCAGTGTCATAAGACAAAGTGTATGTGAACTGCTGTATGGAAAGTGAATTTGCTCTGTAAACTTTCACCCAAATCACATTTAAAAAAAAATGTAGGTGTCCCATAAATGTTTAATGAAATTGCAAATGTTTGTCTTCTCAGTGAGCTGTCTTATGAATACATGGTCTTGAATATTTCTCCATATAAAGGACTAATTTCAGTCTACTATGGTAGCTGCTGGAGCTCTGGTGGCACTGTGCCTAAGGCGTTTGAATGCTAACCAGAAAGTTGGTGGTTCAAACCCACCAGCCACTTCACGGAAGGAAGACTGGGCGATCTCCTTCCATAAAGATTTACCACCTTGGAAACCCAGTGGAGGTTGCTATAAGTTAGAATTAACTTGATGGCAGTGAGTTTATGGTAGCTGCCACAAGAGAGGCATGTACCAAGTACTGTGGCATCCTGGAAGAAAGAATGATTGGGGGTGGGGCTAGCGGAAGATCAAAGAAAAGATTTCACAGAAGAAGACAGAGAAATGGGAAATGGCCTTGGGGTAGATGTACAGGAACGAGTAGTTCAAGATGTGAGGAATCCGCAGTGTACAGTAGTTGTAGGTGCATTTGGAGAAAAGGCACAGAATGAAGAGCATTTCAGGCCCATTTTGGAATTTGAGCTTTAGCCTTTAGGGGAGATAGTAGCAGTTTTGCCCAGGAAAACGATAGTCATGTTTTTGCTTTACAAAGATACCTCAGGCAAAAAAGAAAAAAAAAAACTAACTAACTCAGTGCCATCAAGTCATTTCTGACTCATAGCAACCCCTCCTTGGGTTTCTGAGGCAGTATCTCTATGGAAGTAGATTGCCCATCCTTCCTTCCAAGGAGTGGCTGGTGGGTTTGAACCACCAGCCTTCTGGTTAGCAGTCAAATGACTTAGGCACTACACCAACAGAGCTCAGACAGTTGTGTAGAAAAAAGAACTGGAAGATTATGAGGATGAAAATAGGCCAGTTAGAAAGCTACTAATATAGGACTAAAAAGGATCTCCAGTGGGGCGGTGGTTAAGTGCTTGGCTGCTAACTGAAAGGTCGGCCGTTCAAACCCACCAGCCGCTCCAACAGGAAAATGATGTAGCGATCTGCTTCTATGAAGATTACTGCCTTGGAACCCTATGGGGTGGTTCTACTCTGTTCTGTAGGGTCACTGTGAGTCAGAATGGACTCAAGGGCAATGAGTAATACAGGATTTCTAGAAGTTGTAGTATCTGACTGGAAGGAAAAAGATTATTGCAGAAAAGGGAAATAGTCTTTGGATAGACTCTAGCTCTGCCATTCTTTCTCCTCAGTAAAGAACAGATTCTTTTTACCTTCATGGTAATGAGGCAAACTTCCTGCTGTCTAAGCACTAATACGATAACTTCTTGTGCACTTCCATCATGGCCTGGTACTACAGACCTACATTCCTTTGTTCATAGTGCCCCCAACACCCTCAGAATGGTGAAATATTTCTCGCACCTTTTCAACTGCGTGCTGATTTGTTTCATTTCTGCCGCAGTTTCCCTTAATGTATAGATGAATACTATAACAAAGAAAAAATGTATTTGTGTTTCTTTGTTTAAGAATCACCCAGAAAATCTTTTCTTTATCTAGCAGTTCACCTTAACATCCATGTTCAATCCATTTTCTTTTTACTGCTTTCCTGATATCAAATAGGATATTATACAGTGTGTTTGAAAATACCTAAAAAGCAGCTAGAAACAGTTCAGCAAAATAATACCTATCAAAGGCTTCAAATAAAGAAAATGCCTCTCACTGAACATTTTGTATCCTGTTGTCTCCTCATGTATATGCCCTGCTCCTTTTCAGGTATTTTGTTCTATTGTCAGAAGTTCCTTTGATTTTTATCTGTTCTGAAGGCAAGTTGTGTCTTAAATCATAATGCTTGTTCCAGTGAATGAGAAGTAAACATTATTTTCATAAAAGTGCCAGGACTTTTACTCTTAACTAGCTTTCAGAAGGACTTTCTGCATAAGAAAGCAACTTGTTTAGAAGTATTCTCTTTACTTCAGTTTAACTTTTTTGTCCTCTGTGGTCTAAATTATTTTATTCTTGTTATCATTCTAGGTCATTATTAACATTTTTCTGTCTCATTTTTTTATTGCTGTTACTTGGTTTTTAAGTTTGTTTATATATTTAACTATTTATTTGTATTTCAGTTTAGACTTTCACAATATTGGTGAATGTTACTTTTCTGGAACCACTGAAGAACCTTATTTGTTACAAAAATAAGCCTTATCATAAATGCTTTCCATGAGAACATCAGTCCCATGGGGGTTCAGATCTATAATCCTTCAGCCTCAGTGACTTTGAGTTTGACCATGTCACTAGGGCCATGTCTGACCTCCATGGATTTCGAGAATACTTGTATACACTGAATGTTCCCTTTTCCCTTTATAACCCATTAAAAATTCATTAATTTGTTTAAACCACTATATCTTGGAGACACACTGAAAGCAACAGGGAACATACCAGATTTATTCAGAGGGCTTTTCAAATTATACCACCACATCCCTCATTAACTTCTAATATGATCCTTTCCAGCACCCATTGAGAATTATTACCAAAGAGACCACAGTTACTAATAGGATTTAGGGTAGAATGTAGTTAGCATAGTGCCTAAGGCATGTGACTGCTAACCAGAAGGCTGGCGTTTCAAACCCACCAGCCCCCCCTCAGAAGGAAGGTTGGGCAATCTACTTCTGTAGTGATACTGCCTCAGAAACCCAAGGAAGGGTTGCTATGAGTCGGATATGACTCAATGCCAGTGAATTTGGTTTTATTTTTTGGTCATTGAAAACCATTAATTTTGTTTAATCTACTTCTATTATTAACCCATGCTTCTTATTGTACAGATTTTAGCAGTTTGCTCTTATACTCTGTGAAATCAGGCCTTCTTTTTATTTGTCCCCCAACAACCTATTCTCAGTGTCTAAGGAGCTACCCTCTAGTTCAAATATTCAAACATTTAATGAACAACTCCATCCTGAGATAGTCATCCTTTAGGTGCCCTTCGTGATTTCATACTCTGCTAATGTTTATTAGCACCCATCTCTTTCCCTACTCACTGCTCCTTCCAGATTTGCAAAGTTATTTTAACCACCCTTCTTTGAATCTTCTTTGTCTTTGTTGAGGTCAATGATTTGAATTACAATAATATATCAGATGTAAATTTTACTATAGTTTTATACATGGATCAGATAGTATGTTAAGTTTTGTTTCTACAGTTGTCTTTAGGGTGACATTTTATCAATAGGGTATTGAAAGTCTTAAGTAAATTTTGCCAGTTGCTGTCTTTTGATTGAATATTCTAGTGTTCGTTGAAATTGTACCTGAAGAGAAAGACGTGCTCCTAAATAAAACTATTAATCAAAGAAAGCTTAGTACTACCTTCCTTAAAGGTATTTAGAAGTCACCAAAAAATATCTTACAGTATAAGGTTCCCCTGTAAAAGTTGTGAAGTTTTGTGTGTCTTCTTATCTTAGAGATACCTGCTTCCACTGATGGCAGGGTAATACTTACAAAGGAGCTGCACCAAGTACTTCCCTGGGCAAGATAAGAAAAGTCTAGAATGATCAGTTTACCCAATATTAGCTGGGGTAAAAATGTGTTTACTTTGTGCCAGATGCTCTTCTGAGCACTTTACATGTATTAACCTGTGAAGTAGGTAGTATTATTATTCTCATTCTGCAGATAACAAAACAGAGGCACAGAGCTGCAAAATAACTTGCCACAGTCAGCTGGCTAGTAAGTAATTGGTAGAGAGCCATGACTGAAATCTAGCCCCTCTAACTCTTGGGCCAGACTTCTCAGTGGGCCTCATGCGCTTACATAAGCTAGCCTGTTCTATTGACTGACATCCTTATGTTTTCTTATTTCTTATATCTTTTCTTTCCAATTCCTAAAAAGAATAAAAGAAAAATTTTAATTACATGCTAGATTGGTCAAAAAAAAACCTATCTGACCGTCACTGACTCCAGTTTCTTATCATTATTTCTCTAAAACTAGATAAAAGGAGGGAGCTCTGGTGGCATAGTGCCTAAGGCATTTGACTGCTAACCAGAAAGCTGGCAGTTCAAACCCACTAGCCCTTCCTCGGAAGGAAGGTTGGGCAATCTACTTCCGTAGTGCTACTGCCTTGGAAACCCAAAGAGGGGTCGCTGTGAGTCAGATCTGACTCGACAGCAGTGAGTTTAGATAAAAGGAAGAAGTAGGATTTAAGATCATAAACTTAAAATGTCATCCATACCAATAATGTAGCAGTCATGGAGCCCCCACTTCTTCCACAAAGTGTGCTCAGAATAATTCTATTTGAATTTCTGATCCCTGCAGAAAAGCTCTTGGTCCTCAGAATACCTCAGAGACCTTGTAGGTAGTTCACTATAACCACCACCATAATTTCAAAACCTCACAATTTTACTTTACCTGCTGTGGCATACCCCCAGCCTCCCTGTGTTGGTGAGTGATTGATAATGATGGTGAGCACCCAAGATTTCCTGTCTAAAAACATCTTCTGTTTTTGCAGTGGATAGCCTGCTGAAATACACTGGCTATGGAAATGCTGCAGGACTGTTGGCGGCCAGGGGCCTCCTGGCTGGAGGAAGAGGAGATAATTGGTACTCAGAGGACGAGGACACAGACACTGAAGAATACAAAAATGCAAAACCAAAGTATAGTATCAAGTTTCTTTTCATCTAATTATGTCTGTGTCTTTGAGTTGGTGATTTGCTTTTTATTTTCTTTTTCTTTGATTTTCCCAAGTGTTTCCTTCCTCTTGTGGATTTGAAGCTTTCCGTATAATGGTTTTTTAGGGGCAGTTTCATAGCTAGTGTCTTGAAAGAGTGACTTAAAGTGATTGAAGATGGATATGGCAAGGAACGTTCTGCTGCATATTTTTAGCGTGCACATTATCCCCCGCCCCCCCCAAGAGCTGGTATGTTAAGATATCTATGGTAATATACTTTAATAGTTGTTGTTGTTGTTGTTATGTGCCGTCGAGTCAAACCCGACTCATAGTATTGCTGACTATTTGCTTTCCTTTCCAGAGGTTGAGATTTTATAAGGTCTAACCAAGATCAAGTTTAAGTTGGTTATTTGATACATCAAACATTTCTCAGAAATCTACTATACGTTCTGGTCTTCTGCCTTTTATGAAAGTCAGTAAAATTATGGCAGCAGGCACTTACTAGGAAAAGGAAAGAAGTTTGGTTCCACAGTGAATTTTAATCAGCAAACACTTAGGGAATCATTTTAACAGATGCATTAGTGCACTAAATAGGCAACAAGAGACCCTATCAAGTCTTCTCTGAGTCCATGCTTACAAATTAAAGACACTTCTTTTTTATTCCAAGACAGACTGCCTCTTCTTCCTTCTAGTTCCTCTCCATCCTTCTCACCCTTCAACGCCCAAATCAAAAAACAAGCCCATTGAATTCTGACTCATAGCGACCCTATACAGCAGAGTAGAATTGCCTTATGCATAGGATTTCCAAGGCCATATTCCTTAAGGAAGCAGACTGCCACATCTTTCTCCTACAGAGCAGCTGGTAGGTTTGAACTGCAAACCTTTCAGTTAGCAGACAAGTGCTTAACCACTATACCACCCAACCCTCTCTAACACCTACTCTAGATAAATTTCTTACTTTCCACTTACTAGGAGTTATTTGAGCTCAGTTTTTTCTTACTGCCCTAGTAAATGTTAAGTGTGCCCTTCCATTTTGGCATCACCAGTGATGTTGATATGCTGTGTTTTCTACTATAACTATATTCTGGAGCATGATGTCCATCATGTAGTATGTAGTAGGTGACCAGCAATAGAAAGTCATTGTCTGTAAGTTAGCTCTTTTAAAAAATTTCCTGTTTATGTGAACAGAATAGTTTGTCAGAGGTAAGAGAAATGATTAGGCCCTAATCAGGCAAGATGTATATAGCCTGTTTCTAGGCAATTCAGGACTGTGTAGGTCAGTGTTACTTTTACCATCCCCATATTCACCATCCCCATGATCCTCAGAAGCATCATATAGAGTATGTCCTCGGGGAGTAGCTAGCAGTGGCTCTAGACAGTGAATTCTTAAGGCTTTCAACATTTAGCTGTTATAAATTGGGCATACCTATCCACCAAGAGCTGAAACAGACTCAGGTTTTTTTTCTTTATCAAGTATTTGAAGCTCATTAGAGGAATCATGCTTTATTCTTTCCCTGATTCCAGAAGTCATCATTCTAAATTATTCTTAGCTCTTGATTTTTCCATTCCATAAACTATTCCATATCAATTTCCTATTTTATATCTGTCCATGTGAGACAGTAAAATACACCATTTAAGAAGTCTCTTATTTTTAAACGAAAGTGGAAGTTGCATTTGGCATTCATTGTGCCCCAGGGTACATGGACACAGTCAACTAAGAAAACTTCTCATGAGTACTCAAGGTTGATATCGTTACACCTCAGTGTGTGTTGTTGATTTTGTATGGTAGATGACTTTCAAAATGATAATAATCATGTATCTCGTAAGCCGAGAACTCTCGAATAAGGAAGAACTCAAAGAAAACACAAGACTGCATCTCTTCCAACAGTTTGGGGAATAGAATTGTGTTACATTATGAAAGCAATATTGTTGTTGTTGTTGTTGTTATGTGCCATCGAATCGGCCCCAACTCATAGCAACCCCTCCTTGGGTTGCCGAGGCAGTATCACTATGGAAATAGATTGCCCACCCTTCTTCCGAGGAGTGGCTGGTGGATTTGAACCACCAGCCTTCTGGTTAGCAGTCAGGTGCCTTAGGCACTATGCTACCAGAGCTCCTTGAAAGTAATGTTAGATTTCAGAAAAGTATGTTATGTAAATCAAGGACCATCATGTTTGAGATTGTTTTCTTGGCTCTATGTCATAGAAAGTTTCTATACTTAAGATATTATTAAATCCTTACTTGAAATCATCTTTTACCTTTGACCCTGGCTTATATCTGTTTAGAGGAATGGTGTGTAAGCCGAGTCAGAATAGTCACCATTTTGAAATCTTATTAAGTTGTGTTTCTTAAACACTGTTCATTACAATATAAATATGAGTCTCTCAAGTATAGTCACATCTTTCCCCTTCAGATGTTTGCATTTGTTTTTCTCTTAAATCTTCTCTTATTAAAGTAACAAAATTTGATGGGGTGTTTGTTACTGCAAAATATTTTTTCATATGTTGCCTCTGGAAGTGGTGGTACACAGAGTACTTTGCACATGAGAAGGCCCTTTGTATTCTGGGGAATGATCCACAGAGCTCAAAGAACTTTTTATGTAAAATTTGTTTGAAAATATTTTGACTGCCCCAGAGTTTTTACTAATCTAGTAAAGCTTATAATATCAGCATCTAAAAAGATTACTTAATTCTCTCTACCTGGTAATTACTCTTCACCAGTCAAAGTTCCCAAGATTGTCTGATTTTCTTATGATGCATTTATTCACAACAGTTGCTGGTATTAGCAGAGGCAGGGAAATTACCCTCCATCCAGTTGGCTCTAGTCCCGTTGTCAGAAATCTGCGTAGATTTTCATCATGTGCCAAGGTAACCTGTAATCCTTTAGTGGAATCTGAAACAAGAATTGTATGGAGCTTACATTCAGCCTTCAGGAGACAGTTAATATTCACAACAATCCCTTTTGTGTCAAAATAAATGTATTTAATGGACTGGAAATAGCTTTCTGCAGTTAGCACACTTAGACAGAATATAGTCATAGAATCAAATTACATGCCACACAGCTTTTTGGTGGGTGTCTAGTCACATTTATTAAAAGTTTTCAGATAAACTTTGGTCCTGGATCAAAGGGAAGCCAGAGTTCTAAATTCCATTTTACACTTGTTTCTTTTATGCCTCTGAGCATGGAGGCCCTTTGACTGTATAGGCTGTATAATATAATATCATTCGAGGCATAAATTGAAAGGTGTGTCTAACGACATTTGGCTTATTTTAGATGCGTGGCTTTCAAGCTGGGTGGGAACCTAGGAGTCCAGAAAGGTGTCCTTAAAGGGCTGCTTTTAGGAGGGGTAGGAGGAGGTGATAGCTAAAGTGGGCAGAACCCTAGGGTATCTGCTTACATTCTTAGCATCCCACGCTAGTTCATAATCACATGCAAAATCTTAAAATTATTATATAAACAAACTCTGGAGTGTTCCCTTGTTGACTGTATTTCTCTCAGCAATAGCTTTGGCAGCAGCTACATAGATAGTTTCTTTAACACAAGGCAAGAGACTTTCTTTTATTTGTCAAGATTTTGTTATGTTGCTTTAAAGTCAAGTCTCATTATGGTTTTTTCCATGTACGTTTACATAGGGTTATGTAAATGTCAGGATTTCTTGATTTTTAATATTTTTTGAAGTAAGTGAACCAGAAACTAGGACTTGAAGATTTTTCTCTTTTGCATAGCTTGGGCTGTGATGGATGGTATCTTTATAATTGGATTTAACTAGCATTATGCTTCCTTGTTGCTAGTTGCCGTTGAGTCGGTTCCAACTCATAGCAACCCTGTATATAACAGAACTGGAATGTATTCTTATAAGCAGTCATGAAAGACCATCTAAGTTCAGATTCCTCAAAGGCCAGAGTTCAAAATACAATGATTGTCATTTCTGCCGGGTATTGTCAGTTGCCTTCAAGTCGATTCCCACTCGTGGAAGCACCAAGTATGGGAGGTAGAACTGCTCCTCAGGATTTTCAGCACTGTGACCTTTCAGAAGCACATCACAGGCCTGCCTTTGGAGGCACCCCTGAGTGGATTTCACCCTCCCAATTTTCTGGCTGGTAGTTGAGCACTGTTCAAAAAGTTTACCGGCCTTTGTGATATGTGCAATCACATGACTTTTGCACTTTGAAAATATTTCTTCTGTATTATAATTTGGAAAAATGGCCAGCAAGAGGCCAGCTGTGTTACCTGAATGACAGTGTTGAGCTTTGCCCCACATTTAATTTCTTACAGATTCATGGCAGTCAGTTTTCTGTATACTTTATATCAAGAGTATGGCTCTTTATCAAGCAGCCCAACATAGGAAACACTTTTTAAAAGCACTGTAATTTAAAAAGACTTACCAGAGACTTCCAGTAAGATGGAGGACTAGGCAGACAAGCAACACAGACCCTCTTCAACAAAGAAAAGAGAAACCATTTGACAGAGATACAGAAGGTAGTCCCGGAGCCCTGAGCTTTGAAAGGAACTATGCAGAAGTGGCTCGGAAGGAAGATGGGGCAATCTACTTCCGTAGTGATACCGCCTCGGAAACCCAAGGAGGGGTCGCTATGAGTCAGGTCCGACTCAATGGCACATAACAACATACAGAAGTAGATTAGGCACCAACTAGTGGAAAAACCTGAACAAAAACAGTGAGTACAGAGATGGTCAAACTGTGGACTATCAGCTACTGTGAGAGCACCAACAGCCTGAATATTTCCAAGTGGTATTGGGACCTGAGAATTGACCTAAAAATCAGCCCTGGTTACCAAGGGCTGTGCTGGTGGCCTATGACTAGGAAGGGAAACAGCAGGGAGGGAGACTCCCTGAGCTGTGGACTTTCCACTGTCCAGAGGGCACAGCCATTTTGATTGTTTACATGCAGCAGCCATTTTGGGTATATAAAGTGACCAAAGGCACAGCCATTTTGAATCTTTACAAGTAGCAGCCATTTGGGATTTT